GCCAGCGGAATAACATTCACCGCCATACTGTTTCTTCCCTAGATCATTTCCCCGTTCTAGACATCCGTTTGCCTCATGTTCACATTGACCTTGTTGGCCAACTTCCCCCTCCAAATGGTAGGATATATCTGTCAACATATGTCGACCGTTTCACACGTTGGCTGGTGGCCGTTCCCCAGACAGACATTTCATGCGAGTCCATCGCACAACATTTTCTGTCACACTAGATTTCCCATTACGGTGTTCCTCACGGTGTAATCACTGACAGAGGCGCTCAATTCCGACCTGCGCTCTTTCTTGATTTCACGCGGCTGCTTGGTTGCGAAAACATTTGCACCACTGCTTACCACCCCGCAGCAAAGGGCTTAGTTGAACGTTTTCACCGACAACTNNNNACAACTTAAAGCCTCACTTCAGGCTCACGAAGATCCTCGCTGGACCGAACCTCTTCCACTCACCCAAACGAGCATTCGCTCTTTCATCAAGGAAAACTTCGGAGGTACAGCGGCAGATTTGGTTTATCGAACTACCCTTCGTCTATTAGATGATTTCCTTCAAACCCCACCGTCAATCCACCGTCACTTCCTGTTTCTCCATGGACGACTTCCGAACGATTGCGGTATGGTGCATACCAAACCAACTCCAACACGTCAATACAAGTGGACTGAAAAAGCGCCTGATGATTGCACATATATAGTCAAGTTTTCATTCGTTACGACGGTACACGTCGACCACTGTAAGTATCATACACCGGACTATACAGAGTAATTTCTCGTTCCGAGAACGTTTTGTTTTGGATCGCAAGGGAACACATGACTTGGTAAAAAATGATCGTTTTAAACCCGCGTATCTCGATTAATCATTCGATTTTCCCATCACCGACTCCACATGTTATTCCTTTATCAAGTATCCTCCATACATCACCCATACCAAGTCACTCAACGGACACAACAACACTTCCCAGTTATCCCACCTTCTACACGCGCATTTAACCCTCTAACTGTTCCACGTACAACATGCCTCGAAAGAAGAGTACACTTTCCTGCCTGGTTTCGTTAACAGTTTGCTTTTACTCTTACCTTTAGCGAGTATTCCGTTTGCACTTTCTCTCTGAAAGCGGGATACCATTGTGTCTTACTCCTCTATCCAGTTTTATATTATATGATTGTACAGCTTATCTTAATAGGCACAACACTTTACAACACAATACAAATTCTGTTCGTAATTGCGCACGTGTTGTACGAGTGTTGCTGAAGCATTACGCGTACATTACCAGTTATCGTCAAGCGGTCCGTTAACTGTCGCAGCTAACCATTTCAGCAATACTTCACACTATCAACCGGGGCCACACATCCGAAGAACAGGACCAATCAACCAGCCAGACAATCCTCCTGTGAGCCCGTTCCATGTACCATTTATTTCATCATTATTCGTATATGTAGTTTCTTTTCCACTACATATTTGGTGAGCCCTAGTTCCATATTTTTTCTACGGTACCCCGGGTTATTCACAAATTTAAACCACATTTTCTTGTTTACTATACGTGTTATACATACAGCAATCAAAAATTAACTCAGAGGACCTTCCTATGTCCTCCCACATCAAATGGCTCGCATTTGGTATTAACAACCACTGATTATGTTTCGCCGAAGCTCATTTTCGTACCCATTGTACGTCAACCAATTCGCATCTGAGTGACACGTAGCCGGAACCGATACGAATTCCAAAATAAAACACTATTGATCCGTAATGTTCTACGGCACTGAACTGTAGAAATCATCACAAAATGTACAATAAAGCAGACCTCAAATATGCGGCCAAATGTAGTCAAGAAGGCTAGCTAAATATGATGTCCGGATAGAGCCAAACAGTCGCTCAAGTTCTGTGACCACACCAAATTCAAATGTGCCGGGCATCAAATTAACAGGTAACGAATAATGTATGGTACTTGTGATTGAGAAATGTCAATAGAAAAGCAACACATAGATAGAGTTATGTCACCATAAATTATCATGGGTTTGGAAGGATTTTCAAAAATTCAACATGTAATACACCGGCCGCCAAAATCCTTCTTGCGCTTGTCTGAGTCAAATGGTTGGCGCCGGTCATTGATTCTTTTCTACCTATCTACCTACCTAGTCTCTGCTTTCAGTGCTTTTAACTGCGAACTTTTCAACCTTCGCCGCACTCGTCAGTCTTGACCTCCGAAGACTTGCACGTTCCTTCGTCGAGATTTGCCCTCTGCGTCAGCAAGCTTGAAGCCAGTCGCACAATACATTCATAACAGTGGTTCAAATAAACATCATTACAAATAAAGTCTCGATGTGTAAACAAGGAGTGGGAAACGTGGGCGATGTAATTAATGGTCAAGTCTACAAATGAAATCATGTTCAGCATGTAGGTGATAGTGTGTATGTGAATGGATGAATGTTGTGAGGACATGGGTCACACCTTTGAGGTTCACGTAATACGTTGTGTATCAATCAAGCAGAAAGACACTCAGTCACGAAAACGAAATAGAGAGGACGTATGTTAAGGACGTGGAAGCAAGGGTTCGTACAAGTGGGGTGAATATCACTCGGACGCAACTGGTAAAATGGAGCAGGTAAGTCAATATAATACACGGCGGGCCTCCACAACTCCATCAGGTACGGCATGGTGGTCATCTCCTTCCAATAAACACACTCGTCGAATATCGCGCACCTGTTCACCGGCAGGTGTTTTCAATTCCACTGCTCTTAC